TAATGCGCCTAATGGTTACGGAGAAAATTCCAAAAAATTTTAAATTTAAAATTCCCATGTTATTCTTATGGAGAATAAGTAAACTGTTGTAGTTTGCTTGTTTAATAACATATTTTGCCCAAATTTGGAAAATAATTTTATTTCTTACTAACAATTATCATTTTACATAAAAAAAACACTTTTACCTTCCCTGTTGCAGCAAACCTAAGTATGTGTTAAACTGATTCTATTTAAACAGGGATAAATAATGTGATATTTTTAAGGAGACATTTTAGTGTAAATCCAATCAGGCAAATGGAAATTCGTTAGTCTGCAGGTTTGCTGCGGCGGGGGTGTTATCTTTTTTTGTATTATTTATTACCAAAGCTACGCTCAAGGTCAAGCAGGTGTACCAAACGTATTGCTAACGTACGAAACTAAAACTAACAAGTATACTCTACATCACTAGAGGATGATTACTCATCCATTTCTACTAATACTATCGTGAAGTATTTTTAAAACTATGAAGTTCTTTTTTGAACACTCGGTAATATGATTGTAATTTTTATCGAGGAAAGATTGCTCTGAAATGTATATCTTAGATGACTAAACATGAAATTATACAAAATGATTCACAGTTATTACTAATGAATAAAAACTAACTATCATTTTTATATATAATATATGAAGACAATTTCTACGAAACCCTACTCCTTCGTTAATAATTGACGGATTTATACAATTGATGTGTAAATTTTGAAATAACGCCTCTAATAATTTGTAATCGCCCGAATTCAAGCAACAGGTGAACTAGTATATACCTATTAAAAGAGTACTTAAATATAAATTATGCAATAGCCATCATAACTATCGTATTTATAAGTGAAACTTAAATGAACAAGTAGTTATACTACACATGTAACAACCGCATGAATCATCCTGAGAATAACTTGTTATACAAGGTTTTATATGTTTTAAAATCATAATTTAACAACACAATAAGGTTGTCTGGTCAATTTCTTATCACTATAAATAAACAACAACAACATTTTGATTAATTCACTGCCCCTACAGTACAGATTAAACTAGAGTTATTTGAAGCAACTTTACTCATAAAATTATACAAACCGTATTATAATTATAAAAAAAAAGTTTAGTGTTCATAAATTAGGACCAATTTGTACTCACCACATTCATTGATGTCTACAAATAAAACATCTAACAACTTAATAACTCAATTTCCTTGGGATTGTTAGGCATTCATTATATTTGAAGGTTCTATCAGCTAGACTCTCATGAATGGGTCATTGTGAGGGCGTCAAATGAATAGAATATTTAAATATCGTTAGGTCAAGGTTATTTATACGCAGACAGCTGCATGGTGGTTTCCGTCGTTTCATCATTCTCTAAATTTACATCGCGGAACTCCCGCCACCATGCCCGTTGATTTTTATTCTGGATGTATCATTTCTTGCAATTAAATGTGAAGCACTTTATCATTGGATTGTAAAACTATTAAACGACTTCTATATTTTTGTCATTTTCTACTTTTCCCAAAATATCTACACTTTTAGGCAATATTAAGTACATTTTCGACAGAACTATATCTTTATAATGAAAAATATTGGTGAATGTGCTGAAAAATACGTTTGCTCTCAATCACAGTTTCTGTCGACGTTAGTTAAACATTAAGAATTGTGGCAAAATTTGTGACGTGATAAGACTCGATTGATAAGTTTGCATTCGTAATTAGGTCCGGTTAAATTAAGTTCGATACCAGTTTTAATCATAGAACATGTTTAAAGCGAAATTTAATTATTTATGGTTTAATCCTGTGCAAAAGCTTGTTTGAGTTAAAGTATATAAAGTCTTTAGAGTGGTGTAAGAGAGACAAAGCCGCAACAACCAATATTACCATGAGACAAAGAATTCTATTTACTTTCAGTTTTAAGATGTAATCATGGTTGATGGTTATCGTGTATATATTTTTAGAACACACCTTGCAAATTGCACTTGAAACAAGCCATTAGTCTGGAAACTTACACACTTATCACATTTTATCAAATTAAAGAGATATAACTATGAACTAAATCCGACTAAAACACCCCAGTTTATTTACTACTATAACGAAAAATATATAACATCTCACAATAATGACCTTTGTTGAGTAATCCAACGTCAGTAAGCAGCTGTTTAGTCATAAGTGGAATCTAACACATTCAGTCCCCAATCTGCCGTGTCAGACGTGTCAGTCGTGCATCGTGTGTCGTCATCACTACACGGATCATTACACTGGCAGACACGACGAGCAAACACACATTTATCCGTCGTAACTTCTCCTCTCTCCTTCTAACACTCGTCTATATTATCTGTAGTAGTAGGAGTAAGAACATGTCACATCATTTTTATTCTTAATATTTCAAAGTACTTAGTTTTCCAATCAAAAATTTTTACTCTATGTGTAGTGCATTCACAAATATTTAACTCGGAAATATCAAAAATCCTTTACCTACGACAGTTTTTTTTTAAGTAGCCGTTTCGGTTCAGTTCTTAGAGTCGAAAAAAGTGCTTATAACAAAAAGTGCATTGTTTACATTCATAACAGCATAGTTTTACACATAACAACACGGGTAACGGACCAATGAGGTTCAAGGATTTGGAGAGAAGAAGTAAAGTTGTAATGATTCGAACTTCAACTATCAGCTGTTTAGTTTAATTTAATTGTTAAGTGGTGGAATTAGTGTTTGGTACAATAGTCCAAGCAAACTAAAAAAAAAAAAAAACTGACACAGGGATCAAGATTCAATAAATATTGGTGGTAGTCCCAAGTCAATTTCTCGAAAAATGTTCATACAAAATGCATGTGTTATCTGTTTTCAAAATGTTTCCAATGTTGGTAAAAGCCGCCATTTTAAATTGTGATTTGAGTAGTTTCCTCGTGCACCGATTTTCGGCAACTTTTAGTATGTCATTCTGCAAACCCAACAATACAAAATAAAACCATTAAACGTTTTCTTGCAATTTTGTTATGGTTATGTCCTATATTTCTCTGACTTCAATTATTCGATGCATCACTGTCAGTGGCAGTGGGAGGCTATAAACGAAAACAAAACCTCTCTTAGAATTTATTAGTATTGGTATCATAGTGAATTATCACTATATATTTAATCAATTACCCTATTCGGGTTTGCAACAACAATTGTATTGATATTCGATCTCAATGATGTTCAGCTTTTGTGATAATTTGTCTCGTTTATTCCAAGTTCCCTTCTTGCATTTTCATGGATACAGGTGTGGTTTTGATGGCTTGTTTTTAAATCACTGAAGAAAGCCTACAACTTGTGAAATATACCATCTAGAATTTCATATCAAAGTATTTAAGAATTACTATTTGGTTTAGCTTAGTATTGTTTAATATGCATGGCTGTTATTTTTTACATTTTATCGGAATTCATATTTTATTGGAACCTGAGTGCTACTCATAATCGAATATCAACGCATATTTATTTCAATTAGATTATTTGCATAGCCTGGTTAAAACTTTGTTGTGTTTATGAAATGAAAATGTTGGCCGGGAAGTAACTATGTTTATGAATACTGTAACTACATATCCACATTTTGGTCTCTGAAATGGGTTTTAGCCAATAAAACCTAGTCGCATCATTGTGAAATAACACCAACTACTAACTATTTTTAATTATAAAAAAAACACACAGGAGCAAAGAGTCCGTAATTAAAGACCCTGTCTTATTAAATTTTAATTAAATTTTTGTTTGATTTAAATATAATTAATTTTCAGAAACAGCAGCAAAACTGAAATATTCCAAACTTTAGTTTGGAAATAATTATTTAAAATACTGCTATGATTTTATCTCAAATAATTATGCTTGCGTTTAAGAGTTTATTTATTTTGACAACCTAGATTACTAACACAGTTATAGGTTTTAAAATAATTTGTAATGAGTTTTTGATATTTGTTTACTTTTCAAATGTATTTACATGAAAATAACACATTAAGAGGGTGGATGGAGTAGGTTTTTTACACATTATTATAATAACGCATTAAACATTGTTATCTGTAGCTTTATTACTAAATAGTATTTTAATAAAAACCTTAACTAACAACTTACTTATTTTATTATCTAAAATTAGGTTTGATTTCAAGTTTCGGTTTGCAGTTAAGTACATCAAATCATTATTTTTATTGAGTTTCGATGTTTTATATTTTTCAACGTACATCAATTCGTAAAATATTAGTATAAAATAATATTTTTAAATATTATTATTAGATATATACTTTTACTATATTACCAATTATGATGTGTACTCAAACCCCTGACATAAGTAAAGAGAAATTGTAAAACTGAGCAAGATGTCCTGCATAGCTTACCTACAGATTGAGATAAGCTGTTGCTTTCTCTATAAAAATTAACTTAAATGCCATGTAATCAAAAGTAGTCTTGCCTAGTTTTAAACCATTAAAAGCATGTCAACATGATAAATATGGTTTCACTGTACTCTAGAAACACGAATTTCAATCAGCCTTTAGTGAATAAAAATGTTTATTATTAAAACATTGAATCCCCCTAAGACTAGTCTTATAACATACTACCTCAATCACAGTGTAACTGATTGTTACGGTTACTGCAAACCAAGTGTGCACTGCTCACATCGATATGTTAAGAATAATTTTAATAAAATGGATAAGATCGCACGGTGGTTGACTATTTAGTCAAGGTCCATTACGAACATTTCCCAAGGATGCCAAATATTTAATACAAAAAATATAAAGTTTACAACTATACAATTCAAGCTTTAACAGATTTAGTGGCATACTAAGACCACGCGGTCCAAAACCAAGAGATAAACGTAATACTTTCACGAAAGAAAAGACGGTGTAATAACGGTGAGTAAAATTCACTTAAATGCTTGATGAGGCTGAGAACCGGGGTGTTATATAATTTATTATTGCTCGGCACGTAGGCGAGAGCGGGTGCGTGTGTATGAGTACAGTACAGGTGCACGGTGGGTGGGTGTGCGCGTGTGCGGCGAGATGCTAGCGCCCCTAGCGGCCGGCGGCGGTTCTACGCCACACTGCAGTAGATCTGCAGGGAGGACACTTTAGGATCTGTAGTTTCGCGTCATATCGGTGCTCCACTTTGTTTACCTACACCGGACACTCCCAACTGGCCGCTGCCGGTTTGAAGGTGCCAAGTGCTTAAGTGTAAGGTGCTATTAACCTAATTAAGTGTCTTGTGGGATTCAGTGTCATCTGATATTGCTTGATAAAAGTGCGAAAAGGGTGCGAAAATATATAAGTGTTAGTACGAGTTTCGAATAACGTGTCAACGTTTCCACCTGCACTGTGTTTCTAACATGTGATTATCGCTAGTGTTACAATGTATCTTGTGTTGTGCCTGTGAGAATGTTCCTGGTCAACATGAGGAGCCTTGCCGCTCTACTAGTCACGGTCTTCTATATAAATACAGGTAAGGTGCTAGTTTACTCTCGTTTCGATCAAGTTGTAAGTTGTTAAGATCTTTGTAATCGAAAGTGCTTCAAGTTAGAATTAGACATAGTTACAGGGAAAGGGTATAAAACCACCCTAAAACGTATAAGCGTTTCATCTCTCATAGTCTACGTTAATAATTAATTTGCTAATTAATGTGATTAATGTGGTTAATGTAATTAATGTAATTAATATGTTGTATTTTACAACTATATTAATTATCCTGGGGAGAGATGGGGTGGGGTTCAATGAAAAAAAATAAAATATTTTTGGTGGTAAAAGATATCAATCAATTGTAGGTAATTTGAAAATTAATAATAAATATGTACCGGATCTATATGTCAATCTATTGTTTTACCCTTCGCATCCTTAAAAAAATTGTAACAAATTAGGTTGCAAAATTGAGCCTGTCTCTAACCATTCCGTTTTCGGCTCTTGTTAAAACAGTGCCCCTAGCAACAGAGCTCTGTTTTCTTGGATTGTGTAATGTCTTTAAGCCTAAAGACCTCCTAGACAGGATTATGGAAAAGTTAACATAGGAAGTCCAAAACTACATTTACTAGTTTCATTAAGAATTACGTAATTGGGTTTTAAATAACCGACATGTTCAAGTTTGAACTAGGTTGAAGTCTTTGAAGTTTTCCTTACTTAAGTAAATAAATCTAATAAAATGGAGTTAGGAAAAATCGTTTAAATATATTATTAAATTAACAATAAAATTCATATTGTGTGGGGTGTATCGCGGTTACTAAAGATACAGATGGCCAAAACCATAGACTATTAGTTTAGTAGTAACATTCGTTTACCAATAAGATATCGAAAAGGTAGGATTGAAAGAAATATGTAATTGTTTTACCAATCACTAAAACAGCACGGCACTAAATATGAAATCAAAGATTAGTTTCAAACAACAATTGGGTTAATAATTTAATTTCATAGGGAATTAACTAAGCAATTAACATGAAAATGAACTGAACTCAGTGAACGAACGCATTAGCTTTTGGACAATCATTTTAAACCTCTAAATATTTATTGTTTTATTAAACAATGTGTAAATTTATACCACTGTATGAAAGTATATTGACAATTAATTATTATGTATATCTTTCTACTTTACATAGCATCATCCTTTTGATGTAAACTAGTATTAATAATTTATTATTTAAATAATTTCATGGACTTATTAAAAATAATTTGCTTTATATATTAAATTTGTTAGACTTTTAAGTTATTGCAACGCAAGCTAACAATTATTACGTGAATTCTATTTAATTTGATTGTTCACAGTGAACTAAAATTATACATGCTTACTTTCAGAGCTAATTATTCAACTATTCCTTTAGGTCCAAAAACTTATGAAACAAATTTTCTGAGATTTTTACCATAATAATAATATATTAATGGAAAACACATTTTGTTTCATCCAAATAAAAAAAAAATACTTGTAGGCCTAGAATATTTATTTAGCATTATGAAACCACTCATAACAAAATATGTCGTTATAAATAACGATAATTAGTATTCTTTTAGCCTAAATAGAATCTGATTCTTCGGTTTGTTAATTTTGTTTCTTGATTCTAAACATGTAAAATCCCTTAGTGCATAGAAATTTGCATAAACACCCACGTAAAGTAAAAAAAAAAAAAAAAAATGGATAAAGCAACGAGCACATAGATAATTGACATTATATTTCCACTATTTGTGCATATTCCTTAGTTATAAAGCTGTTTATTAACATTGATTAAAACCAGCTTTTGATGGTATTTTTTTTAAGTTCTTCAAATCAATAACTTGTATTATTTGTATACGATTTGCATATGATACACTTATATTGATATACTATCAGCTTAAAATAACTTTGGCTAGAATTATTATTTTATGAATTAGCCTACTTGTGTTGACTGTGCCAACTAAGCAGCCAAATCTTTTACAGTTTGTAACAAATAAACTTGGCAAATTAGTACTAATCTGCGTTGATAGTATAACAGAAACTATAGCCAATCCAACTTGAAGATGTTGAGTCAAGAAAATTCGTTAATTATTACAATTGCTCGATGCCATTTATTTTATAGTAAATAATAAATGAGACTTTACTAATGTATTAAATCAGGTTTCTGAATTATTTTCTATTTATGTTTTTTAAATGTATTTATAAATTTATAAATTATATTATTGATATATTAGAGCAATATAACGTGCTAGATAATGCACGGTACAGATTTTAGTGCTCCTTTTCCTGAAATAGTCCTACTTTTCTTACATAAAAATGAAGGATTTATATAACATAAGAGCCCGTATGTTCCTATGACCAATACACACTCAATATGACTAAATACTATCCATCAAGTATAAAGCAGTAAATTATAAATCAGCTTGTATAAGAGCGTGCTGCACGGTTAATCATTCAAAGTAGAGTCTGGCCACACCCAAAACGTCCACGCATTCTGCCAATAAACCTGGTGTGTTTTTAGAGGAATAAAATGTATGCATTAACTATAATTAAGCATCTTTATTTGTACAACCAATTTAACTGAATGGGGACATAAAATCTGTGTAATACTTAAACATCGTTTGCGGGATTTTTTCAGCGGTGATAGCCATTATTTTGAACTAAAAAAATTCTATTTTACCTTAAATTTCGTCTAAAACCTCTTCCACTTTTATTATTTGATCATGCATTCAGATACTACTGAATACAACATTGAACGCATAAATGCAGCACTAGTTTCATATACATTTTCTTTTCCAAATTTCCTCTTTAAAGTGAATTCACTGAAGATTATACATTTAATATCAAGCATTGTATAGGCAAAGAAGTTTTTTATGCCACTAATGTCTATATTAGTACTCTGATAAAACCTTTTAGTGTGATAAAACTCGTTCAATTTATTGTAACACGTTTATAAGGGATCTAATGTCAATTATATTATTGTTACTAAATTATTTTAGTTTAAAATAAAGCAATATCACAGTTAATATATGTTACATCTGTAGGTCAAGTCCTTGATTTTTCAATCTAAGTACATATAATTTTTCAACGATTACTTTTGCAGCTATTATAATCCACAAAATATAATTCTTTTAAAGACAAGTTCAATATCACCTTTATCTTCATGCAAACACTTTGCCCATTATTACATAACAACAAAACTTCTATTTTGTCCCCCTTTGTTTGTGAACCGATTTCCTGACTGTTACGAATCAATTATTTTATTACCGTGTAAAGAAATGAATGAGGGTACGACGACATATCCATTACAAAAGCGTGCTCAATGACTGTTAATTAGACAAGCCCCATGTCTATGGGTAAGTAAGGGAGTCAAGAGGGGGGGGGGAAGCCCTGGACCCTATCAGTAACCGAGGGGGATTGTCGCGGAGGGGACTGTCGCAGAGGGAGGTTGTCGCTTGCCATCGTTGTCGTCTTGTGTACATCAATATCACAACCCTATAAACCTTCCAAAGGGAAGGCAAGGCTCATAAAAGTTTCGCCAACCACAAAATCTCTTTCGCCTCCGCTCGCAATATTCTTTATACTTGCAGTGACCCGTTTCATATCGATTACAGATTGCTTCCCTTCCCTCGCTGAGATTGCTGTAGATGTTTAAAAGAGAAACGTTTATGTTAAGAAATACGGTTTTGTTTAACCATTTTATTTATTTAAAATACAGATTATTGTTATTGTTTCGCCAACCCGAAGTGACGTATTGTATTTATAAATAACAATATAGCCTACTCTAGTAGTTGTAAAATTCTTTTTTTCCTCACTTAGTAGGCCTACTTATTAAAATATCAAATCAGGAATTGCTTATTTAAACCAAAAACAGGTAATATTCGTGAAGTTAATATGTACAAAATATTTCTATTTAGTCACAAGTATGGGAATTTAAATTTCGATTTATTAGCTAATTTAAAAATTGATAATATGCTGAAAAGGTAAGTTGCATTCATAAAAGTAATTATACTTGTTATGATACACTTTAAGAAAGAACTAGCTGTTAGTCCGTCCTACGTACGGGAATCAAGTAGTCAATTAAAACCAATTCTAGAAATCAATTCTACGTATGTCTATTCATTTCTATCTAAAGGCTGAATCTATGTCACACACTCTGAATGTTAAGCAAATTGTTTGATACAAAAAGCCAATCTAGAATGTTAGCGTCAGCAGCTAGACTTTTTAAAAAGTCTAAACTTACCTAATTTCTAAAAAACTTAAACCCTAAACTAAAATTATGGCTTAGACATTCCCTAGTTCTCAAAATTATCTTTCATTCAACACAAAAATCAAGAAAATCCGTCAAGTGGTTGATTCAGAATAGTGCAATAAAAAAACCCTGTCACGTTTTATTATTATAGATAACGCATAGATTAGGTAACTAATTAAATAAATAGCTATGATTGTAAAATGTGTTTACATGCTAATTAGAATTTTTTGTTAACACTAGAATACTATTAATTGTCATTTGTTAATTACGTAATGACCAAGTAGAAACCATCAACCAAAAACAAAGCAATTAGCTTCTATTTAACAGAGGAAACATAATTATATAAATTAAGGACTTCGTTTCTGGTATAAAATAACTGAGTTTTGTTGGGTTGGGTAATGGTTTTAAGACTCTGCTATGCAATCTTAATCAAACTGGGTTTGCTCTTTTAACCAAACATTTAGAAATTTCCAAACATTATTTCATTATTCCGTCTAAAATAAAAACCATTCATCGTGTAAACATGATGTTTATTATTCATACCTATTTTATACTGTATAGAAAAAGAGCTAAGGGGTAAACGTAGTACTGCGTTGACCACCCAAGAAAATATGAAGATGTATATATTTATTAAGGCTTCAAACATAAAACAAATCTCTGACATAGGCTTTCAAAAGTATCACAATTGCTTATTTCTTGTTTTTTTTTTAATGACCAAATTCCACACCCTTAAATAGGGCAGTGGCTAAGTCAACGTGTGAGTCTAATAATAAAACAA